CTTTTTGAGACAGGGTTTCCCTGTAGCCCCAGCTGGCCTGGAACTATGTAGACCAGGCTGGCCTCAAACTCACAGAGATCCACCTGTCTCTGCCTCCCAAGGTCTGGGATTAAATGCATGCGCCACCCCACCCGGCCATTTGTTTATTATTTTTATGTGTGGTAGTGTTACCCTGTTGTGCAATGCCCTCAAAGGTCAGAAGAGGGTGTCGGATCCCCTGGAACAGGAGTTACAAATGGTTGTTAGCTGCCATGTGGGTGCTAGGAACCAAACCCAGGTCCTCTGTAAGAGCAGCCAGTGCTCTTAACCACCCCCCAACTTTTAATTAATTTTTAAAAAAATTTATTATTTTTATGTGTATGAGTGTATGTGTGTAGTGTACCCGTGTCATGCAATGCCCTCAGAGGCCAGAAGAGGGTCTCGGATCCCCTGGAACTGGAGTTAGGAATGGTTGTTAGCCACCATGTGGGTGCTAGGAACCGAACCCAGGTCCTTTGCAAGAGTAGCTGGTGCTCTTAACTGATAAGCCATCTTTCCAAAACCCCTCAACTTTTCTTTCTTTTGGTCTTTTTCAGACAGGGTTTCCCTATAGCCCCAGATGGCCTGGAACTCACTATGTAGACCAGGCTGGCCTTAAACTCACAGAGAGCCACCTCAAATTTTTTTTTTTTTGAAAAGATAGATTCTTGCTCTGTAGCCTAATCTGACTTAAAATTCACTATACAGCCCAAGCTAGCCTCCAATCTGCAACAATCCTCCTGCCTCAGCCTTCTGAGGGCTGGTTTATAGGTATGTACCACTATGCTTTATAATATCCTTTGATTCAAAATTTAAACATTTAAAAAGTTTTTTATTAACATATGTTAATTATACATAATAATGAGTGTAAGTTCAAATTTTAAAGAAACCCTAATCTCCAGGTAGGAAAAATAAATCTACTTACATATTCATTAAAAATGGGTGTGTAGATGAGTTTATTCTCTTCTGTGTCTTCAAACTCCTGGTAGTACTTGTCCATGAAATTTCTCTGTAATAACTGGAACTCATCATCTGAACACAATAGGAAGGTTTATTGTTTGTAAGAAGGTGCAAAGCCATCCTGACTCAGATCAGCCATGGTACTGCTTTTCTAGCAGCCAGTCTCCAGGAGAGGGAAGGTTGGGGAATTGAGGGCTGGCTAGGACTAAATGGAACACCAATGTTCAAATAGACCACAGCCTTTAAAAAATAAGTTGTGGGGGCTAGAGAGATGGTTCAGTGGTTAAGGGCACTTACTGCTCTTCAGGGGTTTGGAGTTTGGTTCTCAGCACCCACATGGTGGCTAACATGGGTCCTTAACTCCAGTTTCAAGGGATCCACTGCCCTCTTCTGGCTTCTGTGGGCACCAGGCACACACACGGTACAGTTAACATACATGTGTGTAAAACATTGGTACATATGAAATAAATCTTTTTTAAAAATGGTGCTAAGGGGCTGGAGCGATGGCTCAGAGATTAAGAATACTGGCTGCACTTGCAGAGGACCCTGGTTCCATTCCCAGCACCCACATGGCAGCTAACCATCACCTGTAACTCCAGTTCCGGGGGATCTAATGCCCTCTTCTGACCTCTGTGGGCATTACAGGCATGGCTGCACTTACATACATGCAGGCAATACACTCATACGTACAAAATTTTTAAAAAATTGTGGTAAGATCTGCTTAATATTTACAACTCAGGCCATTTTAAGTACACAGTTTGTTGGCTGTAAGCATGCTTATGTTGCTATGCAACCGCTCCTGGCTCAGACAGAACTCAGATCACAGGTATGTGCCACAATGCCCAATAGGATAGTTTGTGAACTTCCTCACACTATTGTTCATAGAATAACAAAATGGTCTCTCTCTCTCCTGTTCTCTCTCACACCACACACACACACACACACACACACACACACACATTTACTGTGTATACACAGGTCAGAGGACAATTTGTGGGAATAGATTCTTTCCTTCCACCATGTGGGTCTCAGGGATTGAATTCAGGTTGTCAGACTTACCAGCAGTGTCTTTACCCACTGAGCTATCTTGCTGACCCCTGGTTGTCTGTTGCTAAGACAAAAAAAAAATTCTCAGTACAACTCAATGTTACACTATGCTATGTTAAAATTTCCACAAACCTTGAAGTTCTCTGTCTTAAAAATTAACTCTTCAGGGGTTGGGGATTTAGCTCAGTGGTAGAGTGCTTGCCTAGCAAGCACAAGGCCCTGGGTTCGATCCTCAGCTCCGAAGGGGGGAAAAAAAGACTATAAATAGACAAAAAATTAACTCTTCAAAGAACAAAACAAAGCAAAAATAAAAATTAACTCTTCAAATTAATTCCACTGAATGCCCTTAAAAAGCAAGGGTCTAGAGTGATGAGATGGCCTAGGCTGGTGAGATGGCTCAGAAGCTAAAGACCTAACTAAGCATGGCTACCTAACTTTAATCCTCAGAGCCCATGTAAAGATGGAAGGAAGAAGGAAAGAACTGACTCCACAAAGCTGTCCTCTGACCTCCACATGTGCCTCTCCCCAAATAATTTTTTTAAAGGATCTAAGAATTAAGGAACTAAATTAAGGTACAAGAGAGAGTACAGGCCCCTTTTTGATAGAAACTTACCCATGATAATGTCCTCTAAACATCCAACCACAGAATCAAATTCTGCATCAGAGGCAGAGGAACTGAAAAAGAAACCAGGAATATGCGTTGGTCCAAGTAATTATTTTAGAAATTGAATTTGTTCTGTTGTAGGGAGGAGGACTGAATCCAAGGCCTTACACATACCAGGCAAGCATTCTACAATTAAGCTACACCCTCAGCCCCTAAATTTTTTTTGAGAAAAAGAAACCAGGAATACGCGTTGGTCCAAGTAATTATTTTAGAAATTGAATTTGTTCTGTTGTAGGGAGGAGGACTGAATCCAAGGCCTTACACATACCAGGCAAGCATTCTACAATTAAGCTACACCCTCAGCCCCTAAATTTTTTTTGAGAAAAATTAGACATTTTCCAAATATGCACAAAAGACTAGCCAGACGCCAGGGCCTGGTGGCACACGCCTCGCCTTGGGAGGCAGAGGGTAGGCAGATTTCTGTGAGATCGAGGCCAGCTTGGGCTACATAGTTCCAGGAGGGCTGGGACTAGGGAGACCCTATCCAGATATGCGTCCCATCACTCAGCTTCAATTTTATTGTCTAACCTAGCAATTTCAAATGGAAAACACACGTGATGCCATCTGTGACCCACACGTTGAATGCTCCGCTTTGACCAAACCTGGTACGACAATTACAAAAAGGATAATAAGGGGCGCCAAAAGCTGGTGTGGTCTATCTCCAGACTCCTACGCATGCATTCCGTGCGGGATCTACTCACCGAATCTCCGCCCTCCCGCCACACCTATTTGCTGGCGAACGTTACCAGGGAGGAATACTGGCCTAGAGGGTAATTGGACCAGGAGTGACTGGGGACAGCTCCGGTAAAAGTGGAGGGTCCTCCGGCCCGCAACCAGCCCCGGGCAGGTCAAGTCCTCTAGGATTTGCTGACCGTCAAGATGCAGGTCAGAGGACTGTGATGGAAGCACTGATAAACGGTGATACCAGCCCTGTACTGAACCTGCCCATCCCCTGGGCCCCAACCTGGTGGTCTCGCGGCCTAAGCAAACCGAGAGCTAGCGCCTAGCCTGGCCGACTGCCCGGCGCCCCGACCCCAGCGAACACCCTCAGGCCGAGGCCAAGCAGATCCCGGCGGCGCGACTCACAAGGACAGCGCGAAGCTCTCTTCCTCTAGGGCGTCCATGGCCGCGACGCAGCAGCCACCGACCGGGGCTGGGCCCCTGCTCTGGCCCGCGCAGCCCTAACTGCATCTAGGGCCCGGCAGGAGGCCGCACCTACGCCCCGCCCGGCCCGCTGAGCACCTACGCGAGGCTGGGCTCCGGCTCCAGAGTGGGCCCAGCTCCAGCCCGGCCTCCACGCGAGGCCAGGCCGCTCTGCACCAGCCCGGGCCACCCCGCCTCCAATCCGTTAGCAACCGCGGCTCGACGCAGCCCCGCCTTCCGTCACCATGGTTACCCCAACCTCTCGGCAGCCAATCACAGCCGCATGTTCGGATGCCAGGGGCGGGGCAAAAGAGGACGACTGGGGAGCGAAAAAGCACAAAGACCTGCGTGTACTAACGCCGTGGGCGCGAACATGGTGGCGGCTGTTTGGTGACTTACAAAGTGGTACCAGGTTTGCGGATGAAGTCATTGAAGCCTAGAGCTTCGGCTTCCTCGCTTGCAATTTGGGATAAATTACATCTTGTAGGGTGTGTTAGTAAAGATTATGTATTGAAGAGCGCTGGAGACTGCTAGATTGCTTGAGAGCCAGTCTTAAGCTTGGCAACATACACCAGATAACAGAATTTGTAAGAAAGTTCCTTTTCCCTTTTTGGAGATATGAAAAGAAGGTTCCATCACATTAAGTGGATGGCTTGTAATCTGATTTATAATTTTCAGATCAGGCAAGATCAGGACGTGGTGGTACAACCCTGTAATCACAGCATGCGTTTGGGAGGTGGAAGCAGGAGGATCAGGAGTTTAAGTAAGGGGCCAGCCTCAGTTACGTAGTGAATTTGAGGTATCCTAGGCTAAATGAGATCTTGTCTCAAGCAAAGAAAACCAGAAACAACAAATTATTAGGCAGCAAACGGCTTATTGGCTAATTATGCAATTAAAAAAAAAGGTTGGCAGAACCACTTTGAACCAGGCAATCAGAAATTAGATAAACTTCTGGGTCTGAGGAGATAGTTCAGCTGTTAAGAGCACTTTCTGCTCTTGCAAAGAACCTGAGTTAGAGTCGCAGCACCCACATTAGGTAGCTCATAACTGCCTGAAATTCCAGCTGTAGAGGAACTGAGACCCTCTTCTGGCCACTGAGGGCAACAGTATTAACATACAAGAACAGACACACACAATAAATCTTAAAAAAAAAAAAAATCAGATAACTTTGTTCTAGAAGTCTCCTCGAAAGTCCTAACTATAACTGCCAAAATTTGAGAAAGAATTTCCTGGAACCCACTAAGCATGATGTCTCCCGGAGGCCTGATAATTTTTGGTCAAATATATAATTTATAACTAGGGAATTTATGGTATGAATTGATGATCAGATGGCTAATTTGAATGAATCAGTAGACGTCTCTGATTTTTATTTTTTGTCTTTTTTGCGACAGGGTTTCCTTGTAGCCCCAGACATCGAGGTCAGCCTGATCTACATGGTGAGTGCCAGGTCAGCTGGGGCTACATGGAGACTATCTCAAAAAACAAACAAAACAAAATGGATGTTTACAGACCTACAGGATCTGGAACTAAGGTGGTTTCAAAGACACAGTTGTATCCCAAGAGATGAATCCTCAGACTACTCTGGTAGCAGGCAAACATCTAAAAATTCTTTTCCATCAAGGTCTGGTCAGACAGCTCAGTGCAAACTCTGCTAAGATCCTATTACCCATTTTTTTCTAAATGTTACATTACTTCTGGACTAAATGAATTTACTTGCTGTTTCTAAGTCATGGGATCAAAGCAGAGAGGAATGAAATTTGATTTCGTCAGTACTGGTTATTGCTATGACAAACCCTAGTGGAACCTAGTGGCCCCAACCTTTTTTTTTTTTTCTCATTATTCTGCATTTTAGGTAGGGCTTGGCAAGGACTAGTCTTTGTTCCACTTGATGTCAGCAGGGGCAGTTGCAGTGGAGCCAGAGAAGCTCAAGTGACTGACAAGTTATTGGTAGCTCATGGCTGGGAGACGTTGATTGTGGAAGTTGGTGAGGACTCTGGGGTGGGTCAGATAGGGTGGTATGGGGCAGAGTCTTAGTTTCTCTCCACACAGGCCTTCCTGGGGGTGCTTGGGTTTTCTCACACACCAGTAACTGGATTCAAGAGCAAGAGTTAGGAAGTGGAAACTGCAGGGCACTTAAAGGCCTGGTACTAGATATTGGCATAGTATCATGTCACTGTATTCCACTGTACAAGCAAACACAGAGCCTTCCAAGATTTAAGGGACAGAGACAAGTTTTATTTCAAATTTTTGTTTTAAAACTGGCATGGTGTTCCATACCTGTAATCCCAGCACTTGGGAAGTAGAGGCACGAGAAGCAGAGGTTCAAGGCCATCCTTGGCCTCATAGGGAGGTCAAAGTCAGCTTGGGCTAGAAACCCCGACTCTAAAAAAATATTTAAAATTTTGTGGTGCTGAGGATGAAACCTTGTGTATGGTAGGTGCTCTACCACTGAGGGGTGTACCCTAGCCCTATAAGCTCCAGCCCATCCTGGCCTCAAACTCTCAGTCTTCACCACTCTGCCACCTGTGTGTTAGGATTGCAGGTGTGCACCACTACTTTAAACCTCACTTCTTGATGGGATGAATATTAAATAATTTTATGGCCATCTTTTAATCCTTGGCTTTAGGAAGAAAGGGGATGAAGTAGCAGATAAGTAAATAGGCATGTGTCAGATTACAAATACATACTTTCCTTTTGAAATATTTGAAACACTATGAAAAACAAAACCCCAGTATGGTGTTATTTTCATTTTATAGACTGGAAAATGAAGGGTAGTGAGTCCAGTACCACTCCAAAGAAACCATATCAACCTTCATGATTATGTTCTCTATTCCATGGGTCATTAAACATACCCTTGGAAATTAGAGCATGGTTTTTCTGCTGAAAAGAGAACCACAGCCTTCTTGCAGAATTAAAACTTGACTATATTAACTGTTTTCCATTCATACACATTTTAAATCCTTTGTTGGTTAGCATTAAGAATGAACCTTCCAATACTGGGCATAATGGCACATATTTTTAATCCTAGCCTTTGGGAGGCAGACACAAGTGGATCTTTGTGAGTTTGAAGCCAGCCTACCCTATAAACATAGAGGAGTTCTGGGCCAGCCAGGATTGCATTGTCAGACTATCTCAAAACAACAAAACCCCTGCTTTTTAAAATTATTATTTTATGTGTATGAGTGTATTGTTTACATGTGTGTAAGTGCACCTGTGTTGTGCAATGCCTGTGAAACTCAGAAGTGGGCATTGGATCCCCTGGAACTGGAGTTGCAGATGGTTGTTAGTCACCATGAGGGTGCTAGGAATTGAACCTGGGTCCACTGCAAGAGCAGCCAGTGCTGAGCCATCTTTCCAGGCCCCCTTTTTAAGTTTTTTTATATTCCATTTTGTTTACATATGCATGCAATAGTGTACATGTGGAGGCTACAGAACAACTGTAGGATTTGGTTTTCTCCTTTCATCATGTGGGTCCTGGGGATTGAACTGGGTCATGAGACTTGGTGGCAAGCACCTTTACCTGATTGACCATCTCGCTGGCACTTTTTCATTTTTTGAGACAGGACTCAATCTGTATCCCAGGCTGACCCAACAACTTAGAATGTAGCCCCCTGGCTTGCCTCAAACTCATGGCAATCCTGTCATGGCCTCATAAGTGCTTTGATTTTAGGCATAAGCCATCATATCCAGTGGCATTAATATTTTAAGTGAATAAACAGCACAGGATGGAGAATGGAAGACCTTGGAAAGTGCTGGTTTGTTTTCATGAATTCACATTCAAGATGGTCGAAATCCATCAAAAGTCATTTTCTGCTACCAAAGTTATTTCAGTTTTTGTGGCTGAATCACTATTTCCTGGCACTCTGCAAATGGCACCATGATTTTCTCCTGCTTTACGTCATCCAAAAAAGGTGGCAACTCACTACTTTTATTTCTCTGGCTGAAACCCTAGAGTTCCCTAATGAATCACTGGGGAAATGCCATAACTTTTGTTTTTTCCCCTGGTAACACTGTATTAGCAGAGAAAGTCTAGCTTTTCTCTTAAAATGGTTATGCTGCCTGCAGGTTAAAGTAGGTCCCCTGTGTAGGCTCTTCCAAATGGCTTGCTGATCGGTTTCTTCCATGTGCAGTGATGTGGTGAACGTGTGTCCTTCTGAAGTAGCTCTAGAGTAACTTTGTTTCCATCCTTAATGGATTAATCAATTCAATATTGAGAACCTTCTGTTTCATGGTCTACAAGAACTGGAAAAGCAGGCCACCCTAGGGACAATTTGAGGGTAATGTTCTAAAAAGTAGACAGGTGTCTGCATTCCTTTGGCTCCTAAGATTATTTCATCTATTTTCCTCTAGTACTGTTGACTTTTACAGACTACCTTAGCAGCTCAGCTGGATAATCTATTTTCTGCTTCTTCTCTATCTCCACTCCACCCCACCCTTCCATTTTGTTCTCCAAAAAGAGAAGCCAGAGCCATCTTTTTAAAAAATTATTTTATGTGTATTTTATGTTTGGCCTGCATGTATGTAAGTGCACCCATGTATGCAATGCCCACAGAGGCCAGAAGGTGTTGGATCACCTGGAACTGGAGTTAGACAGTTAGCCACTAGGTAGGTGCTGGGAACCAAATCCAGGTCCTCTGCAAGAGCAGCCAGTGCTCTTACCTACTGAGCTGTCTCTCCAGCCCTCAGAACCATCTTTTAAGAACATTATCCAGGCACGTCCATATTTAACCTCCATTGCTGTTTACTGCATTCAAGATAAAATACAAAATCTTAACACGGCCTTCACGAGCAGTCGACCTCCTACACTGGCTTTCTTTTCTGAGTTTGAGGTCAGCCTAGTCCAGGTTCAGCCTGGTTCCAGGCACACCAGGGCTGCATAGAGAGACTGTATCTCAAAACAACAACAAAAACAACAAAACCCTTCTCCCTTTCATTTTTTATATTCCATTTTATTTGCATGGGCACATGTGTAGGCAACAGTGCACATGTGAAGGCCAGAGAACAATTGTAGGATTTGGTTTTCTCTCTATCATGTGGGTCCTGGGATTGAACTTAGGTCACCAGGCTTGGTGCCGAGCACCTTTACCCGATCTTTATACCATCCCCTGGTTCCCTAGACAGGACCTCTGCCTACAGTGCTGTGTTCACCTAGCTATGCCCTCCTCAGTCCTTCTGCCTGGTTATGTCCTGTCTCCCTTAGTCTTCTTCTGACAACTC